GTTATTGGAAAACAAGTCTCTAAACAATTCTTACTGAATTGGTAAATTGCTTGTGTATACAATACTTGTTTTTTTAAAAAAAAAACAAAAAAACCCCCAAAAAACCCAAACATATACACAAATACCCTGCTGTCATTAGTTCTTTGCCAGAGATGATGTTTGTGGTAGATTTGGGGAGGAAAAAAAGTTTTATTGGAACACTTTGAATACATATTTGGTAACCTGGATTTGCATGCAGTCTTTGGTGTCAAGTAATATGTTCATTTTGAGATACTACTACTAAAAGATAGTCTAGCTTTTAAATTCTGTTAGAACAATGAAGAATGACCAAAAATTTGATGAACTTTCAATGTGGTATTTTGTAGACAATGGAATGTGTCCAAGTGTTGCAGATTCTATCTAGAAATCATAAATGCAACACTGTCCACATTTCTCTTCCCTCTCCTCCCAGCCCACCCTGAGGATTATTTGGCAAAATACAAGCTCATCTGTGGGTAACATTGCTCTAACCTGTTGAAACTCCTGGACTGTAAATGGTGTATATTTTGCTTCTCTTTGTTCCACGTGTTGCTTTTTCTTTGCACAGTCTAACCTGACTGTTTCTTTCCTAAACAAATGCTGTTGCCTGTCTTTCAAAAACCCTCCTGGCCACTACAAAACCCCACGAAGACAGCAGGCTAGTGCTGGTGATTTAAAAACAACCTGCAGGCTGCCACACCGTGCATATTAGATATGGGACTAGATGGATAAGGATTGGTATTTTCATTTTTCAAAGGCACTTTAGGGAAATTGCTGTCCAGTTCTCACTGAACGTTATTGGAGAGTGAATATTTAACATATATACACACAAATACTTTGCAATAAAGCCCGTGATTAACTCTGTGTTGTCCTATTCTAGATTTAGTTGCACAGAAAAAGATGCAGTACAGTTTTCTGTTGACAGGAATGAGTAAGAAACAGGTCTCATGTCAAGATGGAGCTTCAAGGCAGTTTGAGCTGGTGAGGTGGTTGCTTTGGCTTTGAAACTGCACTTTCCAAACAGCGTAGTTTATTATTGTTTAAATCTATGCTGATATAACGGTAACAGCTCTGTGGGGAGAAAGTGGGGGAGCAATGGTAAGTCTTTCTTTAACTTAACCATTCTCATTTCCAGGGAAGCACCACTGCCCTTTGTGCCACAGGCCTTCGGAACCTGGGGAATACGTGTTTCATGAATGCAATCCTTCAGTCGCTCAGGTACCTCTGAAGCTGTCCCCACGCCTCTGTGAGAGTGCTCGTGTGCTGTAGCGTTAGGCAAGGGAATTTGGCAAGTTACCACTGTACGAAAGCGTACCTGGATTTGCAGGAACAGGTGTGTGCAGGTACCATAAAGTTGTGTTTCGCAGTGTGAGGGACTTCCCGTGATGCAGCGTTCCAGAGGAAGCCTGCTGTATCCTCAGCAGAAAAGGAGACTGTCCTTTCGTTGCTGAGGATGTTGAAACATGTTGATGCTTGTGGTCGCTGTGAAAGCAGAGACAGCGCTTTGAGCGATGGGGTCTCATGGAAGCGGGTAGGAGAACAGTTTCTGCAGTGCTGAGATGCTAGATCTCATTCATTGCTGCCAAGGCCACTGCTGCTCTGTAATTGTCCTTTTGCATTTCCGAATTTGCCTACTTCACTGGGAGACCACCGAGCCGGGCTATAGCAAGACTAAACGGTCTCCATTTTCTTTTCCATCATTCAGGGTTCACTGGCAGGAGTTGAGGCACGTGCTTCTTATGTTCCATTACTGGGACTGTGGTAGCAGAGGTTAAGATTGATAGGTGGCGGTAGACATGGAGTTAACCTCCTCAGCAGATGCAGCCTGGTTTGTTAGAGAATGCCTTCCGATACCTCCATCATGGTATCTCTTAGTCAAAGCAGAGCCAAAATGTAATTATTTCAGGTAGTTGGGACGATGATGATATTTACAGATCTGCTCAGTCATTTACCGAAGATGAGTATTTGCTATGGTATTTCTCGTATCTTGAACTGTTCATGATTGCCATCCTCTATCACTGCATGAAGTTGTGTTTATGCATTTCAAAGAACAGGCTCCAGAAAACATAATATTCTCTTTGTTCTCTGCCCTTTAAAGATTTCATTAATTTTTCCTTTTTCCATAGTAACATTCAACAGTTTTGCTGTTACTTCAAAGAGTTGCCTGCTGTGGAGCTGAGGAATGGGAAGACGGCAGGCAGGCGAACTTACCATACCAGGAGCCAGGGGGATAACAATGTGTAAGCTGCATGTTCCTTGTTAGCACCGAACTTTATGGAAAACAGTAAATGCTTGGGTAGTAGAGCCACTATATGCTTTCAGTGTTGCAGAATCATAGAAAAATGATTCGTAGGGGCACAGAGTCATATAAAAATAGTTGGCTATACAAAAAAAAAGAAACTTGTATCACTTGCAGTTTGCTTATGTAGCTCTGGTGCTGCAGGGGGAAGCAGTCAGATACATCAGAAAGCACTGGGGTGTAACTGCATTTAAAGTAAGGTTAAGAAGTGCTAGTTACATGTACTCCAGACATTACGTTACTTAATTACAGCTAAAACACAGTCATGGGGATGTGTCTGCAAGTGAACATATTTTTAAAAAAATAAGTATCAGTGTAAGCGATTCACCATCTGTAGCTTGTCTGAACAAGTGTTAAAGGGACGATGTTAGCAGAGTCTGCAGTACAATGGTGAAAGGTGGATACATTTCCAGGTGAGTCCTCAGCATCTGAAATGTAATTTTCCTAACCTGTGTCTCTCTCCAGCGTTATAGGTAGGATTTTGGACATAAAAATCTTTGAAGTACTGGAAAGGATATTTACCCAATCATTACAATCTTAACCAAAGTAATGTCTGGTATTCGTACCGTTGAGCTAGTAAACCTCTAAGGGTTATAACACAAACCCATATTAATCACCAGCTTTTCCTTTCTTTCCAGTTCATTGGTGGAAGAATTCAGAAAGACACTCTGTGCTTTATGGCAAGGAAGCCAAACTGCATTTAGTCCAGAGTCTTTATTTTACGTTGTTTGGAAAATCATGCCAAATTTTAGGTAAGTTTTGTAGAATAAGAACAGTCTTCTTGATTGCAACCTTGTATTGCTGGTGTCCTACTCTAAAATTTGCTGAATCCGCGGGATGCACTCTATGCGGCTTTCCCATATGCCCACAAATACGCTTTGAAAAGGGTCTTCACTTTGATCGACAGTTTTGTGTTCGTCGGTAGTGCTTTTTTTTTCCCTGCCCTTCTACCACATACTACATGTAGCAATGTCAGAGAGGACAAACATCTCAAATACTAAATAGTAGCAGTGGTACCTTTGAGCCAGTGCTCCAGAGAGCAGAAGAATAAAGATAATGACTGGTAGGTAAGTGCCAAGTGCATGGTCTTGACAGAACTCAAGCTTGGCTGCCATAAGAAAGTGACGTAGTCAGATTAAAAAAAGGTACAGCACCTACAGGCCTAAATGCAAACATACTGGCTGAAACTTCCTTGATTCTCTCAAAATACTGTAGTCACCAGCTGGACATGAAAGAAGGGCTATAAGAAAAAAACTTGTGCGTAATAGGCGTTTTGTGCCCATACTGACAAAAAAGACGATAAAAAGAAAGGGAAAAAGAAGGTTACCCAAGTAAATCGAAGTATCGTTCCTCTCCAAGGTCTCCCTGTCCCGGCCCCTGAACCTCTTTCAAAGGAGCACTGAAACCTGTTAGGATATATTGTGATGAAGGTAAGTTGCTCCGTGTTCTCAGGTAGTAAAGATGTTCTGTTCTGTTACATCTCCAGCAGTGCTGAAAAGATGCTGTGAACACATCTGCTCAACGAGTAACCCGAGTAACACAAATCTATTTATTCTATTCCTCACACTGCCAAATACGATTCACTTGGCTTATGAGAATCAAGGAAGTTTAATACCAGTAGTTGCAAGCAGTGACCAAAACATTATAGGCAAATGAACATCATCCATAATGTCCTTGACCAGTTTCCCTATTACAGTCTTCACTATAATTCTTGCTAGACTAAGTGAGAAACCAGTTCATTAAAGTTCCTCAAGCAAATTTTCAGCACTGTGGGTTCTATCACAGCTTTTAAAAGTGCTGTTTGTTGGGGTTCTCCCCCTGCCCTTTTTATTCCTAGTGAGCTGGGAACATGTTCATGATTAACTGATAAGAGAACTCATTAAATCACATGGAGAATAGATTCATTTGCTCAGTAGATCCCTGCTCCTGTGTGATCCAGGGAGAAAATTTGAATTTGTTCCGTGCTTAATTGTACCTTGTAAAAGCTAATGATGCTACAATTCCAGTTCTACCTTGCGCGCGTCTTGTGAGATTGGGAGGAGAATGTGGATGGACATACACGCGAAAGAAAGCCGGAGCCAGCAGCATGTTAACAGCAAACCAGCCACTTTGGCTTGTGTTTATGAAGCCTGAAGCGATGGGGCAGGGGCAGGAAACATGGTTAGAAACCTGGTTCAATTGTTTTAGCCCAAAGAGATTTCGGTTGTTAAAGGCACGTCGTGACTGCCTCCAAGGACTGCAAGTGCTGTTCTTCTTACAGAAGGTTATAGAAAAATCCGCTGCTGATGCACTCCATGGCCCTCTCTCTCATATTGCATGCATTTAGAGTTACTATAAGCACAACTGGAGTGCCTCTGAGCTCTAACGCTGCTGTGGAAGTCCTGCTCCTTGACTGTTGGACAAAGTCTGCTGCTGTCATTCTGCTGCATGCCGAGATAGTTCTGTAGCCTCATGCCGAGCTGCAAGATGTGTATTTTGCTGATTTACTGCTGTATCAATAGTATGCTCTATTTTCCTGGTAACTGTTCCCATTTATATCCTATCTTGTTGCTGGCAGGAAAAGGAATGTGGGCTTGAATTGAATTGCTTCAGGTGGATGGAGATCAGTTTTATTACACAAGCTGACTATCAGAGAAACTATGATTTTTGCTGACGGGCTTTTAGATCATAGTTTATTTTAAAGAGTGCATTGTCCATATCATCATGTTCTTTTTTAAAGATCTGTATCTATGCTTATGCTTTTTAACAAATCCAAAGAATCTTTCATCTATAATTAACATATTTGTATGCAAGTATAAACACATGCACCAGGAGCACAACCAACAATCTGGAATGATTCCAAAGGTTATTTCATCAAATTTGTTGCAGAGCAAAGGTGCCATATACTTCAGAGCTCTTTTATGAGGAATTTGATGTTGAAAAGGTGTCCGAAGCAAAGATTTTCCGTAAATTTCATCTTCAGCTGTTTATTATGATTGCCTATATGTTTATTAAATTGAAGATATCTATAATCAGTAAACTAAGCAAATCCTGTGTTATCTCAGCAACTTCAAAATTACCCTATGGTGTGCACAGTTAACGTGCAGCTTTGAAGCTGAGTTCTGTTTTACTACCTTGTTTCATAGTAATTTATAATTATTTTGCAACTTTGGGAGAATAAGTCCTATTTTTGGCTGTACAGGACTCTGGCCTGTTGAAGCACAGCAGTGTTTCTGTGTGCCAGTGTTTCTGTTGTATAGGTAGGTAATGCCGATGATGTTTCTCAGGGTGCTGTAAGATCTACTTACAAACTCGGTGATTTCTTTTAAAGCTGCTAGTTTGGAAGAAACCATTACTGTACTTCTACAAGATGAAAAGGCTTTATTTCATTTTTATTTTGTTACCTCCTAGCAATACTTTTGTAGGACTTACCTATGTTCTTCACTAAGCACATCAGCCTCACATTGCATACTTCTGTCACACCGAGTCTGTTCTCATTTCTCTCCAACTCTGGGTACTGTGCCATGAGTCTTACGGATGTTTTCCCTCCCCTGAGCAGTAGCATAAAAAACTGTCTCTGTTGTTCCTTCCCAGACATTCCTGTGTAGCAGTTAGTGCCAATACTTACGTGGAATAGTGAGGAGGAAAAGGGACGGGGGAGGCATGACAAAGCAGCTTGAAAGAATGGACAAGAGGAAGAGGGAAAGCCAACTCTACTATGCAGGGATTTTTTTGTAACTAGGCCTACAAAGACTTGCACAGAATTATGTCAGTGTTGCACAAAGCTTTCACTGTTTCACTACGTATGCTTTCCGACTTCATCTCAGTATACATCTTATTGGCAAATGAATAGCGGTTGTTTGTTAAATTTGATGCGTGATTTAGCTTAAATAACTTTAAAGGGCATATTTTACCCTGATGGCTTCTCTGTTCCCTTCAATTAGGTTTGTTAGTGGTGAAATAATAATGGTGACTCTTTGAGCAGCATTGCTGCTGATGGCATGACACGTCTGAGACGGGAGCCCTATCCTACCAAATCCAATGCTCAAGAGATGCTCTGGATACCTCACCATTACCTCACTCGCCCAGCAAATGGTGTGTGGGTTATGCAGGGGAGGTGTGCAGTTCTGAGCATGGCTATAGATCTCGCCCTAGAAGAGGAAAGAAACCTCTCTTTCATCCTAATTATTTCAGACTTCATATTGTTGCTGAAAGATGCATGTGGAAAACAAACCCGAAGATTAAATTCCTGGCTTTGGTGGGGAGGGGAACAAACAGGCAAGCAAACACCTGGAGCTGCCAAAGTGAGTGGGATCAGTGGCTGAATGAAAACCACTCGGAAATATCGACTCTGAATCCCACGTGAACAATACATTTTGTGGTGTCTTTTCTTTTGAATCTTACCAGGTTTGAGATGTCAATATATTGACCATAATTTATAGTAGTTTCAAAGTAGGGATGAATAGTGTGCTGCCTGAACCTGATCTGTAACAATTCTGCGGAGGTACTAATCAAATACAGTCAATAACAAAGAAGGAGAACTGCTTTGTATGAGTGAGGGGAAGTCACTGCTTACCATTGTGTATTTTTAATTAACATGTATATGAGTCCTAGGATGTTACTAGCACAGACTGAGTTTGGTGAGGCCAATTAATGTTAACCGAATATACACGTGAGCAAATGTTATGTGTCTGCTGCTCCCTGTTGTTTTCAAAAGGTCTCTTCCTGTCTAAAATGTATATTCTTAAATGTTTTTCCATCCTCAAAAAGAGACGTGCAGAGAGCGAGCTAGCAAGCGAGCTGCGAAGGACCAAAATTGCTTAATTTGTCTAGACGTAGCTGTACATTTCCAAAGGCTACTTGGAAAACTTTTTTGGTACAAAATATGTATGTTTCTGTAAAGTCTGCTCAGTAGTATTAAACAAGCGAAGGTTCTTTCATGTGACCCTGGTGCTCTCTGTGTGTCAGCACTAAAGCAACCTGTATATTTGGTGATTGTGTTGCTGTTGTTTCCTTTTCTCTTAAGGGGATACCAGCAACAGGATGCCCACGAGTTCATGCGTTACCTTTTGGACCATCTACACCTGGAACTCCAGGGTGGCTTCAATGGTGTTTCACGTTCAGTAATTTTGCAAGAAAATTCTAGTCTGTCTGCAAGCAACAAATGTTGCATGTAAGAAGTGTTTTTTAATTTCTTCAAAACCTTAATGCCTTTGTATGGGTCTGTGTGTGGTGGATCCGAACTTTCAAATTCATGGTTCCTTGTTTAAATTCTCTTTCTTTAGTGCCTCTGTCATGTTACGAATTACAAAGCTGCAGGTTATAAAGGATTAGCATCCTACAGGATGTGCTTCCTTTCAAAAGGATCAGCATTTTTCATAGGTGTCAGTGAGCATACAGGCTAAGTTGTAAACACATTTTAGTTCATTAGCCTTTCAGAAATAAAAAGGAAGAACTTTGTATTTTCTATTCTGTCTCATTGTCTCACCCTAAGACTATCTCATTGTCTTAGGGTGACAGATGGCCTCAATGGCACAGGAGCGAAAAAGATGGCCAAATATTTGTAAGTTTAAATTGTCAGCAGACGTGCATTAACGAGTGAGCAATGCAGTTACAGCTTGAAGTCAATTTTCTTGCCAGTCATCTTGCTGTATCTGCATATCACTTGACACAGTTAAAGCTGTTGCTTTTTTTTCTGGTAATTGTGATTTTCATGTTACTGTGTGTCTCGAAACAGGTAATCCATGTGTTTCACTCCTCTTTCTGTACTTCTCAAAATACTGTCATTTCTGAATTCTGTCCCAGGTGTGTTTTCTCTCAGATTGAAGCTGTCAGAGAGAAAACATTTTCATTTGCTTCAGGAAGGAATGTTAAGTCAGTTCAGCCCGCACATTTGGTCCCTAAGTCCTTGGATTCCCTGCATAAGAGTTGAGTGAGTTTTCCCTTCCTATACCGATTAGGACATAGTAAGCAGGTCTGAGAGATGCAGGATTTAATAGATGCTTCATCAGGGAAAGCCTAGAGGTCAGACTGTGCTCTTTACCACATTTACGTTGCTTTGCTGATGCTTAAAAATCCCACAAAAGAATCCTAAAATGTTCTTACAATTGAAGTGTATTTGAAAACTAAACCAATTTTGTTTTGTCAACATTCTGAATGTCAAAACCCAAGGAGAATATAAACTTTGTTCCCGTATCCCCTGTAAATTTCTCCTGTGAATGGCTGTGCAAATGCATCGTGAGGTGGAGTAAGCTGCCTTCTGTCAAGGGCAAATTAAGGTCACATACACTTAAATGCCTACAGTAAAGTAATAAATATGCTGTGAATGCTCTCTTCTTGAGCGCCGGTTTATTTGGGTAGCCATTTCCTTCTGCTCAACAAGAAGCATTCAAATGAACTGTAAAGATGTAGGTGGAGTGCAGATAAGCAACACGGGTTTCTGCAGGCTTGTGGCGTCAGATCTGCAAGCACAAACTAGCAAGTTTAGAAGTTGTATAATAATATAACTAACTTAAAAATGTGTGGGGTTTTTTTTAATTGGACTATGAGAACTAAGTCCATTACATAATCTGCTGAAAAGATTAAGAGAGTAATGAAAGCATAGAGAACGACGATGATACATATTGTTGATCATATCTTAATGCAACTTAGGCTGTCTTTGGAAGTGAAGTGCAGAAATATGCTTTAAGAATTCAAAATTACTTGTAACAAAGGGTATAGAATTAAAACAAAAATATGCTTGACCTACCTACGAGGGTAGAATTTTTGTTGCAGAAACTGCCTTAATTACAGGGTTAAAATACTGTACCCCTGCGAGCATCAGCTCTCCACTATAGAAATGCAATCAGCTGGAATACTTTCAACACTGAAATTTTGAGCATCTGCTTAGAGCCTACGCGGTTCACACTTTCTTCAGGTACAAGATAAAGCAAAAGTATGATAGCAGCTAAATACTTGCACTGTACAGTTGTGGGGTGAATGAAGTGCCTGGTGGATGAACTCGGTCACTGTTGTTACACATGGACAAAACCGCTCTGCCTAGTAAGCGGCGAGTTGTAAGCAGTAAACATGTAACAGGTATTGAAAATTAAGCTCAGACCTTCTGACTGACTTTACCTCTCTGATGTGGTTTGTCTAGAAATGGAGCGTCTACTGTTGTCACAGCGATTTTTGGAGGCATTCTTCAAAATGAAGTCAACTGCCTAATATGTGGGACTGAATCTAGAAAGTTTGACCCATTCCTAGGTAAGGTGCCGCTGGCTTTCAAAATACTGGGTGACTTAAGGCAGAGAAATAAATCTGAAGCTTGATATATTTAGATGGCACATGAGTGAAGCAGAGTTTTAGCCTGAAAAGATTAGGCATTGTTTTATTCAGCCCTAATTTTTTTTTTAATCTTTGTTTTTCTAGACCTTTCGCTAGATATTCCAAGTCAGTTCAGAAATAAACGTACTAAAAATCAAGAAAATGGACCAATGTGCACGCTACGAGGTAAGAGTGCTTAGATAATGACATCGTTACCAGGACTAAGAGTATATAGTCTCCAGAGTATCTATTTCAGAGGAGCCAGGCTTTCACCTAGGGTGTGACTTGGTGCCATATGCCATCTAATTTTATGAGATTCTGTGGTAGAACGTGGTGCCAAAATAGCTTTCCATGCAGGTTTTACCCCAGTCACTGTGTATTGACATGCTACTATGATAAACTGGGGCTGAGAAATGCTTCAGGAGGTCAGCTAAATATCAACGAGGATTCCAGCAGAGGTTTTTCTTTGTTGTCAGAGTATTTCTAACGTATTACAGTCTTTCCAACCAACACTCATCTGCATTGTTGCCTATGGGCATTTGCTAAGGCGCTGCTGCACTTAGAAGTATGTGCCCCTTGTGCACGTACCAAATCACCTTTCAAAGTTGAATATTCTTTGTTCGAAAGGAATTTAATTTCTTTTGAAAACAGTTGTGCTGAATGTTGGACAGATTCTTGTTTGAAAAACGGAGATTTTGTGAATGCCTTTTTTCCTTTTGAACTGCTTATAGCTGTGTTGTCAGGATCAGGGAATGCTGCATGCTACAACATGTTATTGTATTAAAACATTATTACACAGCTTTTTGCTGCACAAATGTATATAATAACTAGAATGACTGCAGCAGATATGCACACCTTCTCTATATTGCCATATTTTTTGTATTTCATTTTACAAAAAAAAAAAAAAAAAAAAAAAAAAAAAAAAAAAAAAAAAAAAAAAAAAAAAAAAAAAAAAAAAAAAAAAAAAAAAAAAAAAAAAAAAAAAAAAAAAAAAAAAAAAAAAAAAAAAAAAAAAAAAAAAAAAAAAAAAAAAAAAAAAAAAAAAAAAAAAAAAAAAAAAAAAAAAAAAAAAAAAAAAAAAAAAAAAAAAAAAAAAAAAAAAAAAAACCAAAAAACACTCGATGTCGATGTCATTTTTGAATTGGGTTTCTTTGTGTGGGTGTTTGTATTTTGTTCTTTTTTAGATTGCCTTCGCAGTTTTACAGACCTGGAAGAACTTGATGAGACAGAGCTGTATATGTGTCACAAATGCAAAAAGAAACAGAAGTCCACCAAAAAATTCTGGATTCAGAAACTACCAAAGGTTCGTATAAGCATGAAAAGTAACAGCATGACAATATGTCAAAGGAAATAACGACTCCACCGTTAGACCAACACCTAACCCTCCCATAGGCTATTGCAGATGTCTCGTACTAAGTTCAACCCCTTCCTTTAATGCATCCATTTTCTTAATTTTTTTTTTTAATCCTGCAGGTGCTATGCTTACACTTGAAACGATTTCACTGGACAGCATATCTGAGAAACAAGGTTGATACGTATGTCGAGTTTCCCTTACGAGGCCTAGACATGAAATGCTACTTGTTAGAGGTATGAAGACTCACTGATACTGTCTGTAGACATTTGTTCCACGACATACGTCTTTATTACAAATTATAGTAGGTGCTATTGAGATCTGAAGAGTTTTCTGTCTTTTTACCCACAGCCTGAAAACAGTGGCCCAGAAAGCTGCCTGTATGACCTTGCGGCTGTTGTCGTGCATCATGGTTCAGGGTGAGTACATGGAGTAAGCCTGCTTCTTGGCAGAGACCTCCCCACTGAAGTACATGCAGAGTTAATTAAGGCTTTTCCATCCCTAGTGAACGTCTGTATTTTTACTGGTGGAAATAAGCAGTAATTTATAAACTTACATGGAACTAAGCTGAATTAATTTCAGATAGATCTATACAGTTATTCCTGCGAATGCCCACTGACAGTCTTTGGGGGGTAATGACTAGAAGTGTGAGATGGAATGAAAAGTCTAGTTCCTCTAGGAATGGAAAGCCCTAACCCAAGAGAGTGAATCAAGGGGCCTTCCAGAAGTTAACGCCCCATTTTGAACTTCTTAGTACAAAGCAGAAGTATTTTTTTGTCTTTTATTCGCTTTGAAAGGCACGTGCATTTATGCCAAGAGAGTGTGGGTACATGTTTGGAACAAATGGAGACTTAAGATCGGCACAGTGAAAGCAATTATCCGGTATTTACCTTCCCTCCTACAGGAGTGAACTTCAAAGTGAATGCTAATGGGCATGCCGCAAGGCTGGCTAGTGTTCATATTTTGAAGTAAAGTTGCTGGGTGTGCTTTGTTTTGTGTTTTCCTTTTCCCAGCCCTGGACAGATCTGTTGAGAGTAACAGTAGTAGGGACAGGACAACTGTTTATCCCGAGAGAAACGTGTTCCTGTCATTTAGGCAATCACTCTCCGGGTGTGAGCAGTGAAAGGAGTTTTCTTAAAGAAACTAAACCCCATTAATCAAAACCTTGCTGATACGTGCATTTAATGCAAAGATGTGAAACAAAAAGTTCTGTCTAGGAAACGCCTTCTTTGGCTTTCTCTAGAGGAATAGACTCAGAAAGATTTGACTACTAAAGGCAGCCCTTGTAGCACCACAGTGCCTCTGACTAGGAAATTATATGGCCAGCAAAGGAAAGCTGGTCATGATTACAGTGGAATTAGATGGTTGGAAACATTGAGCGTGTGTTATTACACGTAAGCAAGCAAAGGCAGGCCTTATCTTGGGGTGGCAGGGTAATGAAAAGTGATGGGTGTGTAGTTCTGGTATGTTAGATTCAAGAAATATGGCTCCAAGATGTGGATCTGTTTAAGATGAACTTGAAAAATTTTCTTCTTGGTATTCTGGGATTAGTTTTGCTGAGTGCTTTTGATTATATTTAGACTACATGAGACTCTAGACCTAAATGGGGAAGATTTCTGAAAATAGAGCATTGTGAAACTTTTCTAGCTAATGCTTGAATAATAACAGATAGCAGACTTGATTTTTATGTAGGCAAACATGGAAGTTCAGTGTTGGAAGAAGCCTTGCTTGCACAAAAACTACGGGATGCTAATAAGTTCGTATAAAAAAGCCTTTCACCTCATCCCAGTAAGTGATTATTTTACTTAACATAAAACTTTGAGCCCCACAGATTAAGAAGGGAAGCATCTTACCAACTGCTGTGTCGGGCTGTCAGTTCCTTTCTTCCTCTGGTTCCTGGAAGTCTCTTAGCCCTAATAGAAAATGCATCAGAGAATGAGGTGGTCTGTCTCCTTCTGATTGTCCTTTCTTTCCCCGCCTCCCCCCTGCTGACAGCGTTGGCTCTGGACATTACACCGCATACGCAGCTCATGAAGGCCGTTGGTTCCATTTCAACGACAGTACTGTAACTTTGACCGACGAGGAGACTGTGGTAAAGGCCAAGGCCTACATCCTCTTCTACGTGGAACGGCAAGCCAAATCTGGATCAGATAAACTTTAATACCTCCTTTTAATTCTCACTTATCAAGTTCACCGGACAAAACATTTCCATTTTTCCATAAATACTTGATCCAAGACTATTAATTTCATTGTGCACTTTTCAATTTCCTCTTGTGGGTTTTAGTTTTGTTGTGTCAATGGTAGCATTTGACTTACTGAACTTGGACACAAACTAACTTTTTTTTTTAGTTATACCAGAAAACCTCAGCAGATTTTGATTTGCTGCTTTAGTTGTGATAACTCAATTTTTATATATATAGTTTCATGAAATACTTAGTTATTTGACTTTTTTATATTAATGATGTTTTCAGTTCTCACTTTCTAAAGGCACATTTACATCAGCGAAGCTTTCTGTCCTCCTTACAAGCAAGATAAATGTGCTTCTGATTATGAAGAGCAATACAACTTCATGCTGTTCTCACAGCTATTACGTAGATATGATTTAATCTCTTTAAATCACGGAATTGTTGGCACGTACTATTTCCCCTCGTGCAAGAAACTAAACAGCGACCTCTGAACAATCATTCTTTGTCTGCAGGAGAGAGGAGATGTGGCATCATTAAATAGACCAGGTAATTGCTGCTATATCGGTGTGTATTCAGGCTGCTGACTTTCAGGAATCATTGTAAATAAACAGTTGGTTCAAGTGTATCTATACTGCAGTTTAATTCAAGTATTCCTCACATATGCTCTGCCCTCCCCCCTTAAAATTTTAAAAAAATTATCTTAAAATATATACATGTCTAAATTGTGTTTGGGATTTATGTTTTTTTAACCGAACCTGAACTGCCTTAGACATCTCTTGTTTTAGACTGTCATCCTGAAATTGGATCATGACCGTTACTTGCTTGAAAACTTGGGAGACTTCTGGCAGTGGGATCCCAACCCTCCTTCCTGGTGGGAACTGGGAGTACAGCCCCAAAGTTTGGGGTTTGTGAGAACAGTCTTAGGTCTAAATATAGCTCCTGTCCACTAAATGCCTGCAGTTCACTTAAAACCGAAAGGAAGGGGATGGTGTTCCAGATGCTCTGCAAGACAATTGTTTTACCAGTTCAAATGCAAACTAAAGGGAAGATGCTCAGTTCGCTGCATAGCCTGCCTGATGGGAGTTGATGAGCCAAGACTGCTTGTTGACTGGGGCAGACTCGGGTTGCTGTAGTAGTTACGCATTGGCCCAGTGTGGAATCTTTCTTTACGGTCTCGAGACGAATGCTGGAGGCATGATACGGTTTCTAAAACTTGGCTATGTAATGGAGAATGACTTCTGTTTAAAAAAAAAAAAAAATTTTAGCTGTACTGCTGTTCTGGAGAGTGGAAGTCAGCTAATAAGATTTAAAAAAGGTGACAGGAAAACCAGTATTGCAAAAGCCAGGAGTCCCCAAAAAATCTGAAATTTGACAAGTGCTACATTTCAGTTCTCTTCCCCCAGCCCATCCTTTCTAGCTAGCCCCCGTGTGCCTAGCAAGGAACTGGACACTCCTAAAATCCTAAAAGCACGGTAGTAAGAGTAGAATTTGCTTAATGTAGAGTCACATAATCAAACACTGCCTTTTAGTTGTGATAACAGTAAAATATAGTAGTCTGAAAACACACAAGAGCTCAAGTAAAATGTGATTACCCTTTTTAGTTAATGCTGCTGAAAGACATCATAGGATGCAGTAAAAACGTTCCTACAGATTGTACCATAGCTCTACCTGGTGCACAGGGAGTTCACATCAATTTCCTTGCCATGGGTTACCTGCTAGCTGTACACTGACAGGTATAAAGAGAAATCACAATCAGATTTTTTTAAAATGTCATTCTTCATTGCTTTTTCACAGCATCTTAAACCAGGAAAGAGAAAAATTGGCTTACTAGAAAACTGCAGAAAGCATTCAGCATTGCTAACGGTGTATGAATATGTAAACTGTACACTAGTTAAAACCTATTGTGATTATTATTTGATACATTAAGTGACATATATAAGGATGTCTTCTTTTACTTAAGTTGAACAATAAATAGAACTATTCATTACTTTACTTTAAATTGTAGATAGTTTGTCACCTACCATGTCTCCGTTTCTTGCAGCCAGAGCCTTTCTTCTAATCAGAATAGGTAGTTGTTACTGTTTATACAGGCACAAAAAGGTATTTGACAGACTTCGTTGATGTGCGGGGCAAGTGAAGTATCCCTACCACATCATTATCACACTGAAGGGCAGCCTTACTGCTCACAGTTAGTTGGGGAGTTAAGTAGATTCCATCTATAGCTGCATTTTCTCTGCATGCTACTTGGATTGGATTGCTTTAGAATTTTAGTTTTGAGCATACAAAGCTGAAAATACACAACTAGCTATGGGCCAGAAGCAGTTTAACTTACAGTAGTCAGGTGTATGCAGCGTTCTCGCAAACCAGTGATGTAAATGTGCCTTTTTTGTATTTTTAGAAACTTAAATTTGTAATCTTCAGCAACATTCACTTACTTTTTAAGCAGCTTCTATTTCTCCAGTTAATTTTTTGGGTCAGAGTTATGTTCTCACTTCAGTATTTCCTTTCAGTAACATTTGCTCTGTAACATTAAGGTCTTGGGCAATAGTATCCAGCACGGTCCATTTGAGACACGGCCATGGGAACACAATGCAATCACGTCAGTCTTGTTCTTGCAGCAGGTGGTGAGAAGGACTCAGCCATATGCTTTGCTGGAACAAGTACATTGTAAATCTTTTCCTAATTTAACTTTCTCCCGCTGCAAACCCAGATGGACAGTATGAACAGTTTGTTGTGGCAACACAAGTATTTCTCTTCCTGGTGGAGAACTTCACTTATCCACTGTATTCTATTCAGTGTGGCGTCAAAAAAAAACAAAAAAAACCCTGAGCACTGAACCAGTAACATATACTGCACCTGGCCTAGTATTACATTTTTAACCTTACTTGTATATCCTATATTTATCTACTAGCTTGGGGGGCGGGGGGGGATATCTCATTTCATTTAAGCCAAATGTTTCTTTTCTACTTACTGCTAATCACAGTACACACTAACTGGCAAGAATTTTTTTCTTGCTTGTGACTGCTCTGCAAGCAACAACTGCTCTCTACAGTTCAAAGACTTGCATATTTTTCACCAAAATTTGTCTGATCGAAGGTTGTCCTTTTGTTAGTAATTGTTTAGCCACGTATATAACTGGAGACGAGATTTATGTAAAACAAAACTCCAAAATGTCCAGCTCTCAGAGTACTTCTGCTTTAGTGTGTTGTATAGCGAGCTGTTACGTGCAGCATTATGCGAAACTCTAAAGCACTTCTTACAAAGAGAGCTCCTTCTCAGCAGGTGCTTGCCAGGTGGTAACAGATGTCACCCTGAGAGGAGAGTTTTAAAAAAAACCAAAACTTTCGGACAGGCACGGAAAGTGGACGTGTATCAAAAGCAGGAGGCCATTTATAAGGATTTTGCTAAATCAGTGAAAAGCGTTAACACGTGGTGTTCAAAAGTTTCCACAACGTTTCATTACTGATGTGTCTGTGTCTTACTGATGAGGTAATCAGCACCTTGAAAACTGATTCCAATGTGCTCTAGGATATCCTCAAGTACTGTAGTGCCATAGTTGTAATTGTTTACCATTAAAATCTAGTGTGTAATTTTCAGTGAGGATTACTGACTGTGCTCATCTTGTGTGTTTCTAGAGCATTTCCAGGTTGAATGTGAATTATATCTCATTCACACAGTGTGTTTATGGAAAATGTGCCATTAAAGTGTCTCCTTTCCTTAGAAAATGAAACTCCTCTTGTCCTTCTACAGGCTTGCAGAATATCGTCAGTGTAAATCCTTTGAACACAGATGGCAGAGGATTTTAACTTGTTCTGGGGAAAACAAAATAAAGCAAAATTGAAGTGTTCCCACTATTTAACACCTCTACCAAAACTTCGCATCTATACCCAAAGAGGACCTGCCGTTCAATTTTAAAGGTCACCCAAGAGCTGTTGCTTTTCATGTCAGATTGTGGTGTGTGTCCTCTGTGTGGTTAAAGAGTCCATCCTAGCAATGGTAACCTTGTCATTCAAGTTTGCTTGTTTGTTGGGGTTTTTTAGCAATAATATTCCTGTGTTTATTACAACTCTGAGCAGTCTCGACTATTTAAACCTGCTAAAAAATGAAGGTAAATTCTGAAACGGATGAAGGGACACAGTGAGAGCTGAAAATGCTAGTATGAGAACGAAGAACAACACCTGCTGGCACACCATTTAAGCTGCTGTTTTCCAGTGACTGGCTTACCTGGTATGTGACCTCATCTAACTCTTCTTGTCCCTTTCGTGGCTTCATAAAGTACTCATGCCACTGTCCATAGCCTGTTTCTGAGCGTGGGTGGGGAGCAGGAATCTCCTCCTCATTTCAAGGAAAATATTAAAAATGACAAAGGATATGAAACCGAAAAGACTGGCAATTGTTAAGCACAGCTTACCATATAGAAAATTACGAACTCTAAAGAATTAAACAGATCCACATTTGCCATTTTTTTGAGTCACTGTGTGTAGGCATACACATTACTCAAGCACAGATAAGAAGCTAAAATAATTGTTGCAGACTGCAAACAAAATTTCAAACCTTGCTTTTCGGAGTTGAATTTCAAACTGCATTCTCAGGGTAAAAAGGAAAAGATGAACTTTGGTCCCACTCAACCCTGTCATATATATTGCCCCAAACCCAATTAAAATGCATAGGTACATAAAACCTCCCAGTTACTAAAAATGTGCAAGCTACTTCAACAAGTCCTACAGGGCTGGTTTGCTGTCAATAGCTACTAATTAGTTGAACATATTCTTTTCCTGTATTAACACCAGACAGAAGATGGGCATGAACTGCCTTCATCTGGAGCATTTTTATTTCACAAACATGAAAGTTACACAGCTGTTCATTGTTGCTTTTAATTCCAACCTGCCATTTGCTGTAGCTTTATTTTTCTTCTAGGAGAGACTTTCTGCTACAGTTTCTCTCATTACTGGAAAACAAACACTTTTATTCCTAAAACCAATTCTGTGTATCCTTTTCCCACCAAAACCACCAAGTCTACAGTAACAGAACTAAACCTACAAAAACATAAACACAAGAGAACTTGTAAAACTCAAGCTAATAGAAGACATCCATTAAAAGCACAAGCCTACGAGCAGCTAAACATAGACTTGCTGTTCCCATGCATGTCTTCCTGCTTATCATTACTTTCCTCATGCAAAAGGTGGGGAAACAGCCAGCTTTGTTTATTCAAATAACAGCGTGCAGGAAACTGCCCCTAAGTCTGAGGCTTGTAAATTGAAGCTCCACACTTTGTGTGTGTGTGTGTGTGCCTTATAAGCACCCAGGGAATTTTTCAACTCATTTTACAAGCTGTTCATGAAAGATCGTTATCCAGTATAACAGTCCTTGAACACAAAGCAGAAGTGCAACCTTTGGAAAAAATCAATGGACAAATCAAGGCTAAAATTGTTACACACTGCAAAAACAAACTTCCGCTCGGAAAGCCAAACCATCCAAACTGGAGAGGCTGGCAAAGCTACTCCTTGCAGCTGTAGCTACGCCCCCACCCCCCCATTCAGTAACTCCGCACAAGAACTGTGCTAAACTTCAGAAGTGCCTAAGAGGAAAGAAATCCCTTTTAAGGAAGCATTTCATGAAAGTCAAGTGCTGCTATTCTACATGCCCATTCCATTCCCTTGTCGAAACAGAACAAGAGTTTCATGCGTGCATGTTTCTTTCCTTTCCCTGTTCTTAGCTTCTGCACCAGTTGTTCGCCAAAAATAAACACCATTCCACAACCATATATGTGCAACAGCCTTCTGGTGATTCTGAGTCCCCTCCAGCACTGCCGTTATTCCACAAGGCCAGGAGACCGTCTTCTTTCTAACACGCTCTGACGGGCTATGCATATAACCCAGCTGAACCGGGAATGCCTTTTACATCTATTTTCTTTTCTGGACAAAAATAGTAGGAAAAGTTTAGCAAAAACATGTCACAAGTTGCTAGAAGTGTTTCAGGATCCTTTACTGTGGTCTTTGTTGAACTTTCATTCTCCAGCGGAACTAAAGAAGGATAATTTTCTCCTGGGACCTGCTTTAAAATACTTATCCATCTGCTGGTATTCTGAGAGAGTCAAGGTGTGTAACATTGAGGACTGGATGAAAAACAATTTCCAGAAAGACTTCTGTAACAGGCATGAAAACACTGTCAATGATTTTTTACTAGAAGTTTGCAACAGGTACGTTCTTTGGGTGTGAAACTCTACAGCTACTGTAAAGGTTAACTGCCTTGAAATGAGACAATTGAGAGCTATTTACTCTACTCCATACATCCTACCTGAATGGAGCATTAAGTACGTGAGTGCTTTCACTTTGGAATTTTAATATAGTGTTAAGTAAGTTGGTTTTATAGTGGCAATAGCATATACTTCATATTCACTTTCCTTAAGCCTATTTTTTCCTTCTTTTTCCTGAAGAATGAATAATTAATATAGGAAAGTGCAATACTGCCTACTAAATTGCTGCTTAACTGAAATGTACCATTCTGGCAGTGCAAAGCATTGTCCTGGGGGGAGGGGCTAGAGGAAAGACATGATTTCAAATAGTGAATATATGTCATAACAAACCCAAGTTCATTAAACACATTACTAAACACCAAATTTGTTTCATTCTGAGGAGTAAGTATTGCTTTTATACTGAAATTTAACTCTGGCTAAGCTTTTTATAAACTACAGTAAAGGAAAAGAAAGACCACTATGGAAAAGCAGCTCTGGGTGCCCACCATTTCTTAGAACAGCTTTACTGCTACAAAGCAGCTCGAAGAAAAAAAAGTTAAATTACATTAGGAGGAGCAAACAGTGTAGAGGCAATCCTAGTGCCTTAGTAACACCGAGGATGGCTGTGGTCCTAGATTAGAGCTGAAAGGGGCATGTCGGTGCCTATCCTGAAGTGGCACACCTTTGTGCCGCAGCCAGCCCTCAGCTTTGTGCCACAACAGGGAAGGCAGAAAGTTCTATCTGGAAGTAACAATTTAAAGACCCAAACAAATTACAGGATACTGACAGGACACAGTGTCTTGGTGAGAACAGCAACAGCACAATCTCAAAACAGCAACAGCGCAATCTCAAAACCAGGACTGAAATGCAGGTTCAAAACGTTAAGTTGCAAGTACAAAATTTCAGAAGTAACTGTTCTAGAGCAACCGGTTAAAAATTTGGACTAATTAAGAAGCACATCTGTGCCTACAAAGGAGGCCATAGGAGGAAATATTCTCTCATTTTGGCACTGGAATGTCTACCGTGAGGCCACACTTAACTATTTCCATTTTTCTGCCATCACAAATTAGGATTCAGAAAGAGGACACAACACCACAGCTCTGCGGAAATAGTTTAACATCTACGTGCCTTTCTCCTCTGTAGAACCCGTAACCCCAAACTGGTTGCTGGACAAAATTCAAAGCAAAGCCTGGGTAGTAAGCAATCTCATTCAGCAAATGCCTTTCAGCCTTACATGGATTAATTTCCACAAGTTAAACTGAACTCTTAAAAAATGACAGTTATATATTGACACTCACCCCCCCATCCATTTTAGCCTTCCTAAGACGAGTCGCTGCCTTTTTTTGCAGCAACCCATTGAAAGCATTTCCATCTGAACAAAATTCCTAGCATTCTGTGCAAGTAAAAATGCAAATTAAACAAACATACAGCTTTTCTCCCTGAGTTGGGAGTACTTTTATTCTGTTGACGAAGCCACAAGAGATGGCAGGTCGGAGCCTTTCTTTAAAACATTTGTTTTTCTAGCTGTTTGTAAGTGGAAAGGAAAAGAGTAAAAAAAAAGATCATGCAGCTGACGTGATCTCACTTTATTACCTCTGCTCAAAAGGTGAAATCAAGCAGCAGCGGGAGGATGGGGTGGGGTGTAGAGAAAGAGGAATGTACTATGCACCCGTTTTTAAGGACAAAAGAAAATGCTGCAGTGATGGCAGAGCCCCTCGTTTGCCCCCACTGCTGTTGTACACCTAAAACCCTGATGCTGGCTGTAAGCACAAATATTCACATGGGAGTGCTTACAGACACCTTACAGTTCTTACAGGATGGAGGCAGGCTAATAGTTCTGTCCAAAGGTCTCACAAGGTCAATACTAGCATTGCTGTAATCACTTTGCCCCCTCAACAACAGAGCCTAAAGAAGTCCTGTGCTAACAGAGCAACATGAAGCTGCATTTAGCTAAATAGATGGATAGGTGAACTGCTGCTCCCTGGAGAAAGGTGTAAGCCAGAAACCAAACTTTGTACAAAAGGCTTTGCAGGCTGGTGCACAAGGGTCCTTGCAAACGTGCCTGGTCAGCACAACAGCTAGTAATAACTGGTCCACTCCAGTTTTCCGCAGAAGGACAGTTAGTATAAGTCATCAACACACCGACTTGGAACAAGCCTTTTCTGTACTTTCCCAGGTCTACCCAAGCAACAAAAAAGAAAGCTTTTTTAATTTGCTGCATCATTGTTTAACAGTAGAGTTCTTACCAGTTTCAGCGATTTGAAGGAAGGTTTAAGAGTTGTGTGGGGTTCAAACATCAACACTCTTAGGTAGCAGCTGGCACCTATTCAGTAAATCCAAGGAGCTAAAATACACCCATTAATCCCTGTAAAACCAAGAGCGGGACTGTCTTACTCGCCCGTGCTCAGCATATCTACACAGCAGCCTCTTCACTCAATTGACCTCACATTCATCCTGCCTTGAATCTCATCTACTGGGTCTTCATTCGCTGCACTTGGAGAAGCGCAGCGCCATGCAACTCCTTAAGAAAAACCAGTGCAGCTGCAACTTAAATAGGCATCCACGTTCCCTCCTCCACTATGCCAACTGAGATATAGATGTTGCTACCAACAGAAAAAGCAAAGAAGGTAAGTTTTGTGATTAGTAAAGCTGAGCATGAAGATCTAGATAGGTCCCCACTTACTCATGCTTTCTTACCCCTCCTGATGGAAGAGGAAGTCTTTTTCTAACTTTCACATTTATCCTTGCCGATACTAGCTTCTCCAAGCTCTCTTATTTATTTTTCCCCTCATCTCACCTGTAACGATCATGTTTTCAGGTGTCCAAACCTGCTATCTCTGACCCTCTCTGGATGCGGCCATGTTACAGATGATTGCATCTCGCTTCTTCTCAAGAACTGCCCAAACCTCAAGACACTCCAACTGGAAAACTGTGTGCGGATCACTGACCAGACACTAGAAGCAGTGACCCTCTATGGGGGATCACTGCAAACGCTCCACGTGGATTTCTGCCGGAACATAACACGAAATGGTCTAGAGAGAGTCAGGGAAAAATGTCCCTCCGTAATGCTGAAAGCAGAGAGAAGTGCTAACATGATTCCAGACAATAAGCCAGAAAAAAAGTTTATGCTTGAAAAGGCACCAAGAAAATTGTTTCAGCTTTAAGCGCAACAAATTGTATAAACTCAGTCAATGTGTATATTTTACTTCACTTCCACTCTCCTCGTGGGTAGCATTGCTTCAATGAACCGTGGCTACTTTCCTGCGTTCTGGTTTAACTCCAAACAAATGGTTGATAGGTTTTGTAAAGGCTGCACTGGGAAAAGGCATGCATCTCCACCAGGACAGTCTTAAGGAAAAAAACTTGTTTGCTTTCTGTTGTTCCTTGAAACTGGAAAACCCTGCATTGTTGTCACAAAACGCTAGACCTGATTAAGGCTGAAAAGTGCAATTTTGATAGCCTCTTGTCGCGGATGAGTGGAATGCACCTCACTCAGAAGAGAGAAGCAGCAACATGTTTTATTGAGGTAAAATAATAATTTGACAGAGTTCAATAAATTCGATGGAATTTAACAAAGTTTAACAGTGGTTTGACAAGGTTCAATACGTTTGATGGCAAGGTTCACCTTATTAATTACTGCATGGAAGCGACATACAAAGGAAAATTGAGTTAGAATCGAGTTAGAATGATTCCCACAGAGACCGGAGGCGCAAAGAGTAAAGAAGACCCTCCCGTTGAGTCACAAGGTTCAGAGTGGACCCCCTTGCTTTCTAAACTCCTCATGGAGCCTAGGTACGGCTGGATCCAATCTTAGTCTCAGACTTGGTCAACGGTTTATGTCTAATGGAAGAGATACAAAGAGTAAGGAGGACCCTCCCGTCGAGTCACGAGGTTCAGAGTAGACCCCCTTGCTTTCTAAACTCCTTATGTAATGGGAACGGGCATAAAGCCGCAGCAGATAGAGCTTGGGTAATTGTCTGATTTACACAAATTTCAGGGAAAGAGTGGTTAACAAATTTCTGTTAAAGGATATATCCATATGGTCATTCCATCCGCTAAGGGTGATAACCACACCATGTAAGATCTTTCTAGCAAAAGCAGAGTACCTGACAACCATCACTTCCTCGGTGATTAATGTTTGTAGCTGATTTGTCAGGCTTATTTATTAAATGAAGGATGCGTGGCAATGCGCGCAAAACAGTTCAACCCTTTGCATAATGTACTTTGACAAGATACACCAAGTTATTTGTTAAAGTTGACATTAAAGGAAGCACAATATGAACAAATGCTAGTTTACACCACTAACCTACAGGAAAAGACAGTGCCTTACAACCTGTAGCTTTAAATGCTAAATTAGGAACACACTACAGTACAGAGCTATATAAACACCTGTTTCTCACTGCAAAGTACAAACCAAATAGCTATTTTCATCCCAAACCACAAGGCTATCACTTTCCTGCATGCTGCTCTGCTACATGGAAGTGAAACTTTTTTTTTTTTTAAATGAAGGGTTGCTATGGCATCATCTACAAAAATTGACACCAAAGGTTGGCACAGTTTTACTCTGCTGTATAAAATTTGCCTTGATACAACACATTGGGATTTGCTCGTGGTACTGAGTACTCGGGACTGGTAACACCACGTTCCAAGACTCTTCACGCACTTACAGATTTTTGCCTGAGGAAAGGTAAACATTTCTGAGTGCCGCCTTACTGTGTCAACTGTAGTGCAGTTACCTGTCAAAAGTTTTACTTGTTGAGTCTGTCTCAGTACAGCAATACAGAAAAACCATTGTGGTCATCTAGCTTGAATTATTCAGGTTTTTGTTTGAACTACAGCATGCTTTTTTAAAAAGCACCCTGTGCTTTACTCTATGTGGGAGCATGTCTTTAAATTCTGCTTTCCATTATTTTCCATTTTGTTCAGCAATTCTGACATGAATTCAGAATTCTGAGCCCTAGAGAGCACACTGTTAATATATAATCCTGCCCATTCTTGCTGACTCTGCAGCTGAACTCGTATTTACCTTAAATCTCTTTCCCATTCAATACAATCCACTGAAGAACTTTATGCTTACAAAGGATGACAGATGGTTAAATCTGGCTATCGGTATCTTGGTTTCCCCTAGAGGACCAGATGTCAGTTTAGCTTAGACGTCAAACAGAAGGCTGCACACAGACCAGTTTGACAAACTCTATGGATCCTGAATAGTTCCAGCTTAAATCACAATGAAGTCTAGAGCAGTTAAGATTTCATTTTAAATTAAAACCTTACACAGAATAGGAATACCTGAGCGCGTGACCTTAAAATCAAAGCAAATCGAGAAACACTAGCTTTTGGAAATACTGTTCTGTCCCATAAAGAGAGTCAACATTTCTGGTCCATTACATAACAATTACTCAAGACTTCGTCACTACAGCAATCTATGTGCATATACCACAGTAAGCCTGTTTCTCATTTACATGAGGGGCTCTGCAATTGCTGATAATTAATCCTACTGCACTGGTAACAGAACACTGATGAAATTTGCTAGTTAAAAAACACATGAACTGGAACTTGCAGCACTGGAATTCAAGTATATCAAGACTATCGTGGCTTAAAATAATCTGATAGCTTTCCTGCATTTTAACAGTTGTATCTACAGGTATAGCTTTGCAGACTTACTACTTGTCTGCATTTTAATCTTCTATATAACTGGAAGACTACAAGAGCTAGCTTTTCCTCCAGTGAACAGAATTTGTGACTTCTTAAATTGCTATTAACAAATTATTAAAGGTTGTCACAAATACCTAACATGATACATGTCTTTCTTTAAACTTAGAGAACAGCATGACTGTAGTACCTCTCTAAAACAAAAAGAATGTGTGAAAAACTACTATTGAAGTAAAGCAGACTTTTCCCCCCTGTAGAAAAAAGTTCTGAAGTTAGGCCTCAATTACTTAGGAATAACTGGTTTGATTTTCCAATTTCTCACTGTATTCTTTTTACAATACTGTTGCTCCTTTTATTAAAGCTATGTGGAGAAAATGCTTGGGGTGTCATAATGGAGAACTTGGCTCTGATGCCTCAGGTAGTCTTGAAAGAAAGATTTATTTCAACTGATACATTGTCTTTCATTCACATTTGCACAGAAAGAAAGGAAACACGCTATCAAAATTCCACTTGAAGCCAATTTTTACTGCAAGAGTAGTACTGTAAAATTGTATTTCCAATCAGTTTCTCTACGAAGGTAAGTTTCAAACAATCTCAGCAGAAATATGTCAATAGACTACATTCCTAGGGCTTATTCTTTCCTCTGCAAGAACTGATGAGCTAGCTATGAACTCCTAAAAACATTCTTTATGTGGTGCATCAAAAATAGAAGGAGCACTTGACAGCTCTCAGCATAAGTGAATATACTTACTCCTCCTTTCCATCCTGGTTAATTGATCCACAGATATCCTTTGGTACTCTCTAATTTGGCTGAGCTAAGAAATAAATCACAGCATTACAGAAACTTAGTCAAACAGAGCTGAAATTCTAGAGAAATACTTGATCGGTACGAGTATCCATAAGAAACACTCACCCAGAAGACAAATCAAGAAAATAATTTCATTATTGCATCTTCACAACTTAGAGATATTTAACAGCATGACACTGTAATATTCTGCTATTTCATTAACTCATTCCTAAAATTTAAGTAGGACCCTTATGCACTACAAAGTAAGGAACAAAACTGGAAGCACAGACAGGAAGGACAAACAGCAATCCTAAAACACCATTTACAACTTGGAAAGGAGATTGGTGGGCTGAACAAACTTATGGCGATGTGGAAATTGGGATGTTGACACAATTCTTACCTTGGATACACAACCGGTGAAAAAACACCAGTTTCACATATTGCTGACAAGCCAAAACAAGGTAGGAATTCTGTATAGTCGCATTCATAAGCGGAGACCTTCTCCTGATGCCAGCTCTCTAAGCACTCTCTGATGAAAGATACATCTCTGCAGATGTAACACCTAACAGATTTTCAAGTAGCTACAAGATATGAAAGCGGGTTTGCATCTGTCTACATATTATTTATGCCTTTTTGCCAGTTTTCTATCAGGACTGTTTCAGGCAGGGGGTGGGTGGGTCGGTTGTATAGAGCGAAAAAGGGCCTTGGAACACTCTCCCACTTGGTTTCTTTGCCTATTTGTGTACAAATGCTCAAAGTCATATTATTTTGCTCTTCCCCTCCTTGAATGGGGATATTTGTTCATGACATGGTAAAATTTGAACACAGTTGTGTTGATAAATTTTTTCAGCATCAATAATAACTTCTCTTACTTAGCAATCCAATTTGAAAATTGAGGATACAATGATTACATTTTACTTAGGGTATTCTGTAAGGATGGAAGCACGTTAACAGTTTTCTTTAGTTCCAAGCCATTTCAGTTCTGTCAAAGTTCTCTTAACACTACTGAAACATTTTTTACTCTTCACAGACCCTAACTCTAACTTACCAGGTATGGAGGGAGGAAGGCTTGTTATCTATCATTTTATGAAAGTACTAAAAGAAAGGTGACACAAACCAAGATGCCTGCTTGGAAGCTGCATCAGGTTATCAGATGCAAGTGGCAAACAAGACTGCATTATCAAAAGATTGTGCCTTTTCCTACACAATAGGGGAAAAGCAACATCCAGAAGACCCTTCAGATTTCCATTGTGGTAACATAGCTCAGCTTGGCAATAAGGTAAAACGAAATGAAATGAAGTTCTGCAGCACAGTAAAATTGCTTACTTAACAGCAGTGGTATTTCCTCTGCCGTTAAACTTTATCACCCAATCAAAAGGCTAAATGACAGATCTAAACCAAACTTCCAGACCTGACCTGATCACTTGTTCACCTCTTCTCTGAAGAATACTACTGTTCAAGAACACATTCTGCTCTTACCAGTCCCCTCTAAGCATGACAGACACGCATTCCACCTACCGCTACATTCCAGCTCTGTCAGATGAACCAACACTACTACTGCTAGCTCCAGAAAGAGTGAGGCTTCAGCCAGTTAAAGTAACTTGCCTACCTCTAGTCTTGGGGACTGGCTGTTCATCTTCTCTCTGTTGTAGTGTGCCTACCTGTTCCAAAGGGCTATCCAGCTGTCTGATAGCCTGAAAGCCCAAAAGGCTAGGGATGTACTTCCTAGGTGGGAAAGGGGGGGGGGGGGGGGGGGGGGGAAAAGAGAAGGGGGGGGGGGGGGGGGAAGGTAGGAAAAAGCGATTGGAAATACCAGAGGTGGTAGAGAAGAAATTATCTAATCCCAAGGTAAAAACAGGATGAGAAAGAGAAATTATGGGCTTCAAGAAGCAACAGCCTTATAAACCAGAGAGAGTGCTTCTTGAGAGTTATTTGAGGTGTAAGGAAAAAGTTAGGTACTACTCATGTACAGCAAAAAATAAGCAGCAGCAAATAGTAGTCATGTTCAACAAGAAACACAGGCTTGTGGCATCTAAGTGCTTTGTATATAATACCCACCCAGCACATTACTTTTGTGGCTAAAGCTTTTCAAGCTGTTTTTCTCCAGTTATGTTTAGAATTTAATATTCCTAAGCTTACTGTGGCTCCATATCTCATATTAATTTGAAATGGGTCTAGATAAACACATTGTCACACACCTGTTCTTACCTCTGATACTCCCTGCTTCAGTCATACACATGTCCCATCCAATGCTGAAAGGTGGAAAGGAAATGAGGCATGACATTTGGAAATCGCTTGCAGTCCACCTTGCTACAGCCAACTCTGCCTAGTGCAACAACGCTGCCACTGGAAGGTTTGTTACAAGATAGAGTTGCATAGTTTTTTCTTTAAATAACAGCATATATGACCTACTTATACTACAGAATCCAGACAAACACTGCTAATATTTATTCCCCTTGCTATATAGGGAGAGGTTTGCATACATAAGATACCCTTAAACTGACATAAAGCTAGAACTTTCTCAGATGGTCTCCAATAGTAGGACATAATCAATGCTGTACATTCTTCATCGTTGTATGCAATTACGTATAAGAAGCATTATGAAAAAAGACTTGAACGTGATTCCAGTCTCACTCAGATGTCTGAGCAACAGAAAAATGTCAATCAGCAGGTTAAAAGGAATGTATGCACAATATAGTTATGGTGAAAACAAACAGTAGGATAAAATAAAAATAATTAAGCGTGTGATAAGTTTTAATGATGCTAAGATAGATTATTCAAAGGACAAACACAATCAATAAAAAATGTCTCAATTAAAGAAATCAAGCCCAATCCTATGATCAACACCAATATTTACCAATATCAACATCCTTTTTCACTTTACTGAAAACTGCCTCCAAAAATACCCTCATTATCCAAGAAGCCAACTACATAGTCCATACAAAACTGTAATTTTTAGGCAGTGTTCTATTATTTTCTGTGCCTGATTGAAACAGACTGACAAATTAGTAGCACTAATTCAGACACATAAATGAAGTCTGGAGGGCAATAATACAAGACCTTCTATAGCAGTTTCCCCTTTTATTTGTAACCTTATATTTTTTTATGTATTACACCTATAAATTTAGACCAAGATGTGAATATACTCCCCCACAACAGCGATGGGACACCAAAGTCTCAGTCCAACTTGGAACCATAATACATGATGAGGCAGGAAACTAAAGTCTGCATGATTTCAGAGCCCTGAGTCCCCCCTTCCCCAAAACTGCTGAAAGCCCCCCTCTAGATGTTTCATGTTGCAGTCTGGTTCTTGGTCATACCTCAAGAACCTTTTGCCTTTTTCATTAGCCAACAAACTAGTCCTAACCGAAAGAACTTCACCAGATAAAACCCAGATCTGCAAATTTTTACAGCTTATCGAGTCACCCTTTGACCACTACTAGCTGGCAGCAATACACCAGTTCAGTCTTGGACAACCAGGAAGCTTCCCTATCAATCCCTGCTAACATACAACAACCACATGAGGGAAAACAACAAGAATTTCTACCCTCTTCTCCAGACTCAGATGGACCAGTCTTGTCCCAGGTGAGATTAAGTTAATAAATGTTCTCGCTAGCCCTCAGGCCCCACAGCATCCTTACCACGGAGTTCAGTGAGAATGAGGGATGGAAAAATCAGGGCAGAGCAGCAGTGACTCATCTGGGGATAGACTCTACCCTTTTCCTCAGCCCAGTTAAAACCTGCCGCTGAACACCAAGCAGCATTTGTAGTTTGACACAAATCATGTTTTTGATAGAGACACTGGGGAATTCATCTGTTCTTCAGCACTTCCCTAAGACACAGAACAAAAATGTCTTTGTACAGTACATTACTGTCCTAACCAAATATGAGCATTACAGTGTAAGCCACACCCTGCTGGAAATAATACAATTACAGCTGCAACGAGATGAGACCAAACACATGAAATTTACTAAAATCAAAGGCATAAACTAAGAATGTATATAAAATCCATAGCCTCCACTACTACCCTGTCACTTTCATTTTAATTGTTTTGTATGCTGATCAGGAATCAACTACATCAATCTGTATATTAAAAAGGATTTTTTTTTTTTGACAAAAGATTTAAAGGTTTCTGAGTCAAGGTAGCAGTATGTTATTATTGTCAACAACTACTACTCTGGAGGAGAAAAACATTCAAATGAAAATCAAGAAGGAACCAAGCACAACGTTAACTTGTATTGAAGAACGAGGAATAAATATCGGGAATAAATACCCGAAAAAGCCAGTACCTCAAAGACATTAGAAATGCAGAGCACCATACTACACATCAGATTCGCCGAAGATAAACATTTTAAGATGCTTCAAATGTCACGTCCTGTCTAAACACTGTAATACTGTAATTTCCTGAGACAAAATATAGAAGTATGAAGACTAAGTGAACCAATCACAGTTCACAAATGCATACAAGCAACCGATTCTTGAATTTGCTTTATTTTTCTCTGCATAAGGAACCCTGCACAGGCAATTCAAATTAAAACAAAATAAATATGTGAATATTCATGTAAAACTGTCCTTGCTAATGAACAATTATACACAATGTA